GTGATCGATTGTCGTAGTAATTCTGCAACAGTAAACAATCGTTCATAATGGATCCATGTATATAACCCGAATCTGTGAATCCTAATATTCTGGCATGACATAGATCTTAGATTTTTGGTTATTTTAATCTAGGATGTTTGCATCTAAATTTGGTTTTGATTTTAGATATGATTTATAATTCTAACAATAACTACTCAAACGAGAATGGTTTGGTAAGAACAGTTTCAGGACAAACGGAGTTTCAACTATAGTGCAGAATTTATAGGGGGGTTGACCTTTTATGTATCCTTTTCAGCTTTACAGCCCAGGTTGCACAAGCTTAACACCAAAGGGATTGATTAAAGCAGTGAAGTTGCTAACAAAAAACAACCATAGACTAAAGAGCCTAAAAATCACTGGCATCTACAACATGAAGAAAGAAGACCTTGACACGCTTCACAACTTACTAGATTTGAACCAAGCACAGCAGAAGAAAGGAAAGATTTTATATCATGAGCACAAGAAATGCTCGAGCTTTAAACATGAAGAAACGGATTGTCCAATAGATGTAAATGTCTGTCCCAAGTGTTATGAAGTAGGAATGGTTTTCGACTGCCCTGGAGTTTTCTGTCCGAGGAAGAAGCAGCATCAGACAATTGAATGTAGGGGATGCTACCACTGCATTCCGAGGTGTGATGAGTGTGGCATATGTATTACGGGTCAAGAACTCGCAGAGGCAGCATGGGCTGGCGCGTTGTGTTTAGAGTGTTGGCTGCAGCTCCCGAAGTGCAATTTCAATAACAAGCCGCAGTTTAACCAACAAGCCCATCAGGGCTGCAGATTTTCAAGCTCTTCTGGTTTTGTCTGCACTGCTTGTCATGCGAAGTTCTAATGTACATAACATAAAAGTACTCAACTATTGAAAAATGACCACTTAGGGTCCAAAGGGTACTTTAAGGAAGGGCCTAATCGAGATATATATTTGTGTGCGCACGCTTTACATGCCTCTAATTGACGTGTAAAGAAAACACACAATTACATGAGCAAGTATATAGCTCGATCTTTGTGAAACATGTTGTTTTGATCTTTAAATGTGACTTGATTTATGATGAAGAGTTTAGTGTCATACATGTAGTTGAGATTATGTGTCATTTGCAAGTTGATGACTTGTGAAAATACGTAGTTTACTAACTAAGTTTGACCTTACGTGCAGAATTATTCTATTAAAAGCAATAAGTCACTTTTTAACAATTTCTAGATGATTAAGCATACAATTCAATTATCGTATGTTTGAATACCACAGTTTGTACTATGGAAAGCAATAAAGAATGAACACCAAAATGATGACGGAGAAACCCAATTAAGTAAAAATTTCGGGATCAAACCAGTTACCTCTACTATAGACAATATGGATTACAGTCTGTTTCCAGTCTAACAAGTTCCACTAGTTCCCGCTGTTATAATTCATGTAATCTCCAAGATTTGATGTTCCTCCAGACTCACGATCTACTACCGTAGATACTATCTAGTTAACCTGCTAGATCTCTCGATCTACCTCATGTAGCTTCCAAAATTCGCTGTAAATTCCAGACTCCCGANTAGTTTGGGCCTCATTGTCTAAAGATTGTTTTTTCCCATTTTTAATAGTATTTGAAAATACGTAGTTTACTAACTAAGTTCGACCTTACGTGTAGAATTATTCTATTAAAAGTAACAAGTCTCTTTTTAACAATTTCTAGATGATTAAGCATACAATTCAATTATCGTATGTTTGAATACCACAGTTTGTACTATGGAAAGCAATAAAGAATGAACACCAAAATGATGACGGAGAAACCCAATTAAGTAAAAATTTCGGGATCAAACCAGTTACCTCTACTATAAACAATATGGATTACAGTCTGTTTCCAGTCTAACAAGTTCCACTAGTTCCCGCTGTTATAATTCATGTAATCTCCAAGATTTACTGTTCCTCCAGACTCACGATCTACTACCGTAGATACTATCTAGTTAACCTGCTAGATCTCTCGATCTACCTCATGTAGCTTCCAAAATTCGCTGTAAATTCCAGACTCCCGATCTTCTTCATTTGTCTCTTCCAAGTGGATATCCAGAAATTACCTATTCATGTTCTTCTTCCGCGCTTGTAGTCCAACATCTTTCAACCTCCAAAAATTTCTGAAGTCCAACTGAGAAAGTACCTTCCTCAAACGGTTAAGGAAGTCAGGTGTTTTGGATTCACGAACCTTGATATTTTCCCAAAACTTGGTTGTCAGATCTCAAGAATGATATGGATGAATCACCAAATAATTATGCTCTTAGATATCTCAAAATATGATGTAGATGTGTTATACAATGAAGGCACAATAAAGCAACCACACGGAATTCATCCCAGACATATGTATTTATAGTTGGAGATGCTTGGGTGTTATGGGCCGTGCAAAACTCTTCAAAATCACGAATTAGGTCTGGCCGCATAAATAAGTCGCTCGAGCGAGGGAGTCTGTCACTCTAGCCAAAGGTCTATCGCTCGAACGAAGCCTGGGCGATAAGCGAGCAACAATGGTTCTGTTTCTATCGCTTGAACAATGGCCAGGTGTGATGCTAGCGAAATTCCGACGCCGTTTCTTCTTTGTTTCCAAACTCGAACTCAAACCCTAGGCAACCTAACTCATCTATACAAAAATGCACTTCATTCCTTGACTTTTATGCATGTTCAATTAAGTCATTTTTGGTCACAGAATTGTCAATTACAATATTGAACCTAACAACTATGAACTTGGGATAGATGTTAGCCAAAAGCTAGGTTCATTTGTGCTCTTATGTTATCTTGAAGTTTATTTTATTACATGTAGGATTTAAAACTATCCATAGCGCGACAAAATGAACCAGCATATAGTGAGAAAGTATTGAGACAATTGTAAAGTCCATGGATCTTACATGCACATGAACATAGCATTATTAGCAAAGTTAGTTGAAGAATGAAATTTAAGCAAGACAAAAGATATATTACGTATAGTATACGCAACATACTCCTTAGCAGTATTCTAAAACACGGGAAAATGCACCACATTAACGCGCCTAGGCGCGACACGTGGTCGAAACGCCTTGCATACCCCCTAAGCGTGTAAAAATACGGTCAACGCCTTCGTTGACCACTAAAATGCCTTTTTTAAATTTTTCTTTAATTTTTCTTTTTACACAATTCTCTAATTAATAATTATAAACTTTCCATTCCAACCCACCAACTGCTAGGCCCAGGAAGTATAACAAGGTTTCGTTGGCCCATTTATTTATAGGCATAATTTCTTGTGTTTCATCTATAGGATTTCGATGTGGGATCAACTTTGCTGTGTTACTGTGCAAGCAAGGATGAAAGGAACTTTGGCTGTGCTTCATCTCTAGGATTCTCGTTGACATGCAGAGACGGACCTAGACCGACCGGCGCCGACGCCGGCAGCTCTTGTGCCTGCTTCGTCTTCTTCACTGTTTGTTTTTGTTTCCCCTGTTTTGAAAGTGGGCTGCCGTTCCCCTTTTTTACCCTCTAAAAACCTTAATTGAATTTTTAATTCAGTTGAGAAAGTTGGATTATTTGTTAATGGAAAAATGCGGTATCCTTTGAATTATGAATTTGATCTTCCAGGTCTATATATGTTACTAGTAGAAGTTCTCTTGTAATTAATAGTTGAAATTGGAAATAGGAGACCTTGCCCACAACTGGTAGGGATATATTTTAGCTTAAAAATTGCAGGAAAAATTGCAGGCTCATTTTTAACTGTTTGTGTTTTCTT